CGAGACTTGGTGTCCGTGATGGTAGTATTGATTTTGTATACCTCTAGCCAAGGCGCTCCGGTCCTTCTCAACGACGAGTGCGGCCATGGACTTGTCGACGCTGATTACAGCGACCGAGAACGCCAACACGTTTGTGTATGGCGTGAGCTACGGCACGTACCTTGTCGAGCGCTTGATGCAACTGGAGAACCCGAGTATCAAGGGCTACATCCTCGACGGGATCGTGGCCAACTCGGGCAGCAAGGACAACAAGCTCACGGTCTTTAACGACTGGGACAAGGAAGTCGACGAAGCTGGTATTTTGTATCGACTGACATGAAGAATGGGTGATGGACTCTTGGGCATTAGCGCAAACGTTCATTGATCTGTGCAAGACCGACGCATATTGCAGCAGCAAATTTCCAACGCTGGGTACGTCGTTTCTATCTCTGACTCTATACAAAAACCGTTCTAGACCTTCGCACGACCATGGTGACAATGTACTCGACGATGGACCGGAACCCCAAGAGCTCCAAGTGCGCGATGGCACTCTCGTCGTCGTCGAGCACACCGTCGGCAGTGCTTCGGTCGCTCTTTTCGGACCTCCTGCAAAGCCAGAGTCTCCGTGCCCTCATCCCGGTATCTATCTATCTATCTATCTATCTATCTATCTATCTATCTATCTATCTATCTATCTATCTATCTATCTATCTCTTTCGATGCTCATTCCCCGCCGTAGGCACTCGTGTACCGCTTCAACCGCTGCAACCAAGCCGATATTCTCGCAATCGCCAACTTTGCCACTCAAGTTCAAAACATGTTTGTGCCATTCGTACTATGCGACAGGGCGTCTCATCGAACTGTTTAGGGGCAACACGCAGGACGAGTCGGATGCGCTCGAGTCAACAATGCTTTACAACCTCATTGTGGTGTCTGAGCTCTGGCGAACGCCAACCGAATCCTACGACACGCTCAAGAAGACGTTTATGAACACACTCATTGGCAGCAACATTGCAAGCTTGGTGACGACCTACTGCATTGCCAGCGGCGGCAAGGACCCCAACTGCATCAACGAGCGCGCGCCGAGCAACGACTACAAGTGGCAGTACCCGCGCGATATCTACTACGACGTGCCGATCACGATTCCCAAAGGCACCAGCGTTCTGCTGTTGAGTGGTCTCTTGGATCCGCAGACCACTGCGAGAGGCGCTCGCAACCAGTACGACAGCTTCATTGGGACAGCCAAACGTCTGGTCGAGTTCAATTTCGCAGCCCATGGCACCATCATCAACACGCCCGTGACAACCCTGGTACACATTCTTCAATACTCAAAGATATGCTAAAGTTTGATGGACGCTAGGGTGGAGCTCCGTGCGCGGCCCAGCTCGTCGGCTCGTTCGTTTCGGTCAACGGCGATGTGACAGCACTTGACACAAGTTGCCTCGCGACCGTTGCCCCCATGAGCTTCCAGATCAAGTCGTCATTGGCCCAAACGCTCATGGCGACGTCCGACATCTACGACGGCACGCCCACCAAGCAGTACAAGGCCTCGTCGACGGCGCCGCCGGCCGATAAGGTCAGCGACGGGTCGGCGGCGACATCGATCGACGATGCAAGCGCGGGTGTGTCGGCGGGCTACCGCACCGCCACGATCATTGGTTTTGTTCTGGCGGCGTTGCTGGCCATTGGCCTGGTGATTGTGGTGCGTCGGCAGCGCAAGCAAGCCGCGGCGACGACCAGCATTTACGTCGAGCCCATCGAGCATTCGTCGGCGCCTTAATGCACCTATCGAGAGCGAAACGATGCAGCCCGTATTCTAGTAGACGAGAGTACTACTCTTCAAACACACATTGGTGTTGGATAAAAAACTATTTGTTCCACCTGCCAGAGACTAAATTCTGACGGGACGAAGGGGTGCGCGCCCACGTGATATAGATGTATATGGTTGAAATATTTTCTACCAGTTACTCGCCTCTGGACACTAAACCAACGACTCTAATCCATTGACGCACGTAGGTTGTACTAGATTTTAAACGAGGCATACGCGAAAAACGCACCTCTCTCACCTACCCCGAGATGAAACGATACTGTTGCGGTACTTGATGGATTTTCGGTGTCATTAGCTTTGCTTGGTTGGATGGCTGAAGAGCTGAGGACATCTTTGCGATGATGAACGCAGAGATTCAGTGATAATGCGAGGGGTCGGGCGTTTTTGTCTTTGGACTCTATGACGTCTACCCACCCCATATATGGTATCTGCGCAGCTATCTGCACCTTCTTTGAGACTGCTTTGTATTCTTGTTTGAGTACACTCGTGCGTCGCAAGGAGCCAACACAATCGTCTTCTGGGGCGGAATTCTTGCGAATCCCGTCGCCTTCTAAGAGCAAAATGTTTTCATTTTCACCCCTTCGCGCTTTTAGTCTCCAAAATTCGATCCTCTCTTCTTTCGCCTTTCGAGCAGCATGGAAATTCACTGAGCGCGGTGTGCTGGTTGCACTTCCAAGCACAACCCCATCGGTTTTGGAGCGCAGATACTTGTTTGCCTTTTTTTGAATGAGTGTTCGCCGCTGCCACCAGCTGTTTCGTTTCAGATGCCCATTGTTGTTGAAATGAGTCCTCTCGTTTTTTACGGATTAAGGTTCCTTTTTCTACGGCCGTCCTACCACCGACCTAATATCCGGTAGGCACGAGTTTCCGGCATGTGCCGTTTTCATCTTGCTTCTTCCGTGTTTTCTTTGTGGCACTTGCCGAGCGTGGCCTTATTATGGTGACCATGACATTCGTGTCCGGATGGGGGGGAGTCCGGATAGAAAAATCGGCGCATCGGGAATCGAACCGGCGACCTCGGGAGTCAGAAGCAGGAGTCATACCGATCGGCACAAGCGGCTCCCCTTCAGATGCACATTGTGATGCAGCGCGTCACATGCCCCGCGTGCGACTGCCCGCCTTTGTACGAGACGTACAAGATATTGCGGTTTTTGGCGGCGTACCCCGGTGTCCTGGCCCGCTTTCCCGGTGTCACGGCGTCGCGATATGGCGCGAGGCTGCACACGCCCCCGGAGTACCCAGTGACGGTCGGCTCGTGGCGTTTTGCGCTGCCTTGCTCGACGTGGTCTTGGGGTGCGAACACACGTTTGAACTTGGTGCGCCGAGCTTGCGCACGAGTTTCTCATTCTCGCACCAGAGGCTGGTCATGTTGGACGGCGGTCTTCCATACTGCCACTTGCCCCACGTCGGTGCGAATGTCGGCTACGGCAAGGGTACATAAATTCAATTGAATTTATGTACCCTATAAATTGAATTTATGTACCCTTGGGTACGGCTACTTTGGCCAGCTCCAAGGCGGCGGTGCTGTTGTGCACGATGCTGGCACGTTTGCCATCTTCAAGGCTAGGCTAGCTTTCTTTACTTCACTTCTATTTAGCAAATGTCTAACGTACAATTTGCTGGTAAGAATCTAAATACACAAATACACAAATTTTGATCAACACCAAACCAGATCTTTTCAACGACGCGCTTTACGTCGATCGAGGCTAATAGTTAGCGATGTGGATGATAATCCTCTTCTTGTCGTCGTCTCCAAGTCGGCAACGCAGCGTCGTCGCAAGCTCGGTAATTTTTGAATCTGACGCGGTGGCTTCCGGGGTCAGCGGTTTCTTGATCGGCGGCGCTCCAGTCGAAATGCGTTTTATAGTAAAACCTATTTTAACACCATTGGGGCATGTCGTGTCCAGCACGCCCATCCACCAAGAAAGTCATCTCGAGTACGGTTCAACAGTCTCTACTTCAAAAAAACATTAGCATTCAAATGTACGAACTTGCATTGCGCACGAGCGCTTCACCAGGACATTTAGATCGTGTTCAATGCGTTGTTGTTTGTAAAACCTATTTAACCCATCGTTCATCGCACCTGATGATCCGGATACGGCCGAGAAAGGCCAGAGCGTGCAACACTTCTCGTCCGCCGGAAAGGCAAAGTGCAAGCGTCCAGCATGCGCCTCCTGCTGCTGCTTGTGGCCCTGGCGGTTGTCGACGCAGCGACCAGCCCCATCAAGATCAACGGCTGGTACGCCTGCAGCGCCCGGACGTTCGCGACGCCAGCGCCGGCGACGGTCGCACCATCGGCCAGCTTCAAGACCACGGCCTTCTCGGCGGCGGAGCCCGACATCTTAGCTACGCTGCTTCGGCCTTTTGATGCGTCATCCATCGCAGACTTTGCCGTGGCCTCTACACAAACAACGTCCAGCGTGCCTGTCGAGTGCGCCGAGTTTACACTACCTCTCTGCTACGAGAGTCTTTGCAGTGCCGCCGGTTCGATTCCCGTTTTTGTCAAGCGCATGCGTGCCACGAAGCGATCGTCGTCTACCAAGGCGCTTTGGTTTCTCCAAGGCGGTCCCGGCGCGTCCTCTGTCGCGAGTACAGTCTCTTCTTTGGATCTGTGTGTGGTTTATCTAACGAAACTGGGATCTTAGTGGAGTCGCTCATGACGCTCCTCTACTCGATGCTCAACGGCGCTGTCGACGTGTACACGATGGACCACCGCGGCACGGGTCGCAGCTACAAACTCACGTGTTCAGCGTCCCAGATCGAGACGTCGGGCAGTCCCACGAAAGGCCAAGTGCTCAACAGCGTGCTCTCAACGTGCATCAAGGACATCAACATTCAGATTGGCGCCAACGACAGTACGTCTCGAGACTTGGTGTCCGCGATGGTAGTATTGATGTTGTATACCTCTAGCCAAGGCGCTCCGGTCCTTCTCAACGACGAGTGCGGCCATGGACTTGTCGACGCTGATTACAGCGACCGAGAACGCCAACACGTTTGTGTATGGCGTGAGCTACGGCACGTACCTTGTCGAGCGCTTGATGCAACTGGAGAACCCGAGTATCAAGGGCTACATCCTCGACGGGATCGTGGCCAACTCGGGCAGCAAGGACAACAAGCTCACGGTCTTTAACGACTGGGACAAGGAAGTCGACGAAGCTGGTATTTTGTATCGACTGACATGAAGAATGGGTGATGGACTCTTGGGCATTAGCGCAAACGTTCATTGATCTGTGTAAGACCGACGCATATTGCAGCAGCAAGTTCCCGGGCTCTGGTATGTTCTGGTATGCAAAGTGTCGTGTGTGATCTTGGATATCGTAGACCTCCGGACGGCCTTGACCAAGCTGTACGAAGCGCTTGACAGCAATCCCAAGGGCTCGGCGTGTGCCAAGCTGCTCGAGGCGTCGTCGTCGTCGCCACCTTCGGCCACGCTGCGTGCGCTCTTTTCCGATCTGCTTCAAGATCAAACCCTTCGATCGATGATTCCGGTACTGCTTTTTCTGCTTAATGGAAGAAGGGATTGACTGACGGGTTCGTAGGCGCTTGTGTACCGCTTTACGCGCTGCAGCTCAGACGATGTCACGGCGATCACCAACTTTGCGATTCAAATCGATATCGAGTACGGCGGGATGACGTCACCATGACACGTCAGATTATGATTTGTCATAGTGACAACACGCCGCGTCCATCCGACAGTTACCGGTCTACCATGCTGTACAAGCTCATTGTGACGTCTGAACTCTGGCGGACGCCCACGGAATCCTACGATACGCTCAAGAAGACGTTTATGAACACACTCATTGGCAGCAACGTGGCGGGCATGGTGACGACCTACTGCATTGCCAGCGGCGGCAAGGACCCCAACTGCGCGCAAGAGCGCGCGCCGAGCAACAACTACAAGTGGCAGTACCCGCGCGATATCTACTACGACGTACCGATCACGATTCCCAAAGGCACGAGCGTTCTGCTGTTGAGTGGACTTTTGGATCCGCAGACCGCTGCAAGAGGCGCTCGCAACCAGTACGACAGCTTCATCGGGACGGCCAAACGCCTGGTCGAGTTCAATTACGCAGCCCACGGCACCATCGTCAACACGCCCGTAACAACAAAGGTATGTCGATTTCACTGGAATTTGTATCACGAAAGTACGCATGAACAACAAAACGATGCACTTTAGGGCGGCGCTCCATGTGCAGCCCAGCTCGTCGGTTCGTTTGTGACAGTCGATGGCGATGTGACGGCGCTCGATACGAGCTGCCTTGCGGCGGTTGCCCCCATGAGCTTTGCGATCAAGCCATCACTGGCCAAGTCCTATTTGGCGACAGACGATATCTACGACGGGGTGCCCACCGAGAAGTTTACGGCGGCGTCAACTTTGGCGCCGGGGACGTCTGCGGGCGACGGCGCGGTGACGACCAGCGACACGGTTGCCTCGGGCTACAAGACCGCAACGATCATTGGCTATGTGCTCGTGGCGGGTCTTATCGTGGCCCTTCTCGTGCTCGTGCTTCGGAAGCGAAAGAAGCACACGCAAGCGCACAGCACACTCTATGTCGAGCCAACGCCTGCCTAGATTCAAGCCCTTGCCTGTGCTTGGCTACCTCTAGCCCATATTCTGAAGCAACTCGACCCTCCAGCTCTGCCGTCTTTATCTGTTATGCTATCCGATACCCTGCAACGTTGAAAGTGAGAGGAATTGTTTAAAAAGTCAACATGCAATACTTGCAGTAGCCATGGTACGAGTAGACTCGGGCACTATATTTTGAATTTTACACGGTGAAGCCGTATACACTAATGTTTGTATGCCGCTTGGAAATCCCAGATTACCACGAGACCGCCGTCTTCTCGATGGTCTCGATGAGCTGGGACGGCAGCAGCTCGCGGCTGAAGAACGCGACCGTGCCAAACTCGGAGCTAAACTGATCGCTGTAGAGCTGTGCGAGCCAGTGCCAGTACGGCTACTCTTTGTTTGCCGTCAACAGCTGACCGCTGACAGCGCTTCCTGTCGACGTCGACCACCACGCGGCGTTATTCGGCGACGTCTCGGTCACCTGGGAGATGCACGCCGCGTACTCGTTCTTGAGATGCGGCGTCTCATTTGCCCCGGCCCGCTTCAGCACCTCGGACAGCGATCGAACGCGGTACTTGGCGTCAAACGTGGTCTCGTGCATTGGCAGCGTCGTGAACTGCCGCAGGTCCGCCAATTCCACCGTCTCAAACGCAGCTTCGAGGCCGTCGCGCTCGATCGTTTCCTTAAAGACGTCGTAGCGTTCGCGAAGACGCATGGCTTTCCGTGGAGAAGGCAGCGCGCCATTGCCAGTGACTGCGCTCCTTGGGCCACGGCTCGTGTCTCGCGCTTGTGGTATTATCTTGAAGTGGACAAACATAGAGAGGTTGGTTCGACTTTATTATTTAGGTATTTGTTGTGTATGTTTGATTTTGATAGAGACCACTTGAGATTCTACGCTCACTCGCCCCATACCTTTAGGGTATGCAAGTTACTTGCCTTTACTTCCTCTCACCTTGCTCTACTATGTATGCTCTATTGGAAGATAGTAGCGTGAAATCTCACAGATAAGTATCTGTAGTCGTGAATGATGAAGCATGCAGCTGTTATTCAATTAAATGATAGACTAAGAT